CTGTGGAAAGCGTGGTCCTGCTGCTCAGAGTGGTGTCTGATTTTAATCTTAAACTGACCACCTCTACTGCATCTTCAACAGGAATGCATGTAAAGAGTGATGTCAGAGTCAGAGTCAGAGTTTCTTTATTGTCATTCGCACCTCATATGGTACATGTGGTGGAGCGAAATTATGTACACAGGGTCCCAGTTACATCCAACAATAAAATGTATAAGAAAAACAGTAATAACATCTAAGATATGAACTAAGAAAAACATCAACTAAATATACACTAAGCACTCAGTCTCCATGATGACATCCCTCACCTTATCCACAAAGTCCATGGTGTTCTGTATGTGGTGTTCTGAGCTGCCAACTAAAGGGATGAGTACAGACGCCAGATATTTGGAAACATTGTAAGTGACAGAGTTACTCATGCTAACAATTGGTCTTAAAGGTACACCTTGTTTGTGGATTTTAGGTAAACCATACAGACTAGGTGTGGCCTCCCCTGGTACAGTCTGTGGTACAGAATACGGTCAATAACCTTGTCCTGCTCCAAAATTTTCAGGCTGCACTCATCTCCAGACCAGCGGTCACTCTTTCAGGGATGAAGATTCATTCATTCATTCATTCAGCCTTTATTTAGACAGGTAAATCCCGTTGAGCCTCGAGGACTCATTTACAAGAGAGACCTGATTATTAAGATGTTCACATCCTGGATAGAGAGGAACGATGGTTTGAGAGAGGAGTAAAGGAGGCCATCTTTGTGAAAAGAAATCGTCCATCATTAAACTGCTTTTGGTTGTCAGCAGCAAACTGGTTGATTCACTCTGAGAAGGTGCTATTTAAGAGACTGAGCTGAATACAGCACCTCAGACTGAAGAAGTCTTTCGGATGAGAGACAAAACATTTCTACAATTTTTTTGTTTAGTTTAGTTAGATTTTTTTTTTTTTTTTTTTTTTTTTGGAATGTCCAGAGGACCAGATTTAACTTTTTTAGGTTTTTCTACCTGGATTACTGAGCATGCATCAGGATACATCAGCATATGTTATTATAGTTTGGAGCAGAATTCAAAATCAAAACTATCTAAAAATTTGCTTTCAGGCACTTGGTGCACTCCTACACCTTCATCATGCTTCACACACCTGCCCTGCCACAACTCTGTTGGACTGCAGCAGGATACAGCTATACACTAAGATAATGCCAGGGTTGCACAATGTTACCCCCACATCTATGTTAGGTTGCTTCCACGACCTTGTCACAATCAGAGTAGTTGTCTAGGCCTCAAGCTAATGTGACCAAACATGCTTTAACGCCTCACCACCATGTTGAAAACGTTGCCGCTGCTGTTACCACTCTTCCCCACACTCCACAAACGGCACAAAACTGCAGTTTTTACATTGTAGTGGGGATGTTCATCAGTGTAAGGATGGCCTAACTGTGGTTCAGTGCATTAACACAGCAAGATTAGGAGTTTCATTTCTGTAACCCTGCAAGTTCATATCCATCCTTCCATTATCTTTTATCCGCTTCTTCCTTTCAGGGTCATGGGGTTCACTGGTGCCCATATCCAGCAGTCGCAAGTTCATTTATTTTAAGCAAAACAATCCATTATTTAGACTTCTGCACCTTGTGAACATATTTACAACAAGAAAAACATCATTCCATCTAGAGACTGCAGAAACACTTCTGTCTAATATTACAAAATAAGCAGTAAAACTAACAGATATTCCCTTGTCCAGAAATAAATCAATAACTGTTGCACTGCTTTGGATGAAACCCTGTGAACTGTTCCTCTGCCCCCTCTCACAGACCGTGAACCCAGCAGCAGCAGCCACAATGTCTCCTCAGGAACCTTTTACAGCTGCGTCAGTCAGATCACCATTGGTAAGTTTGATACTCAGGTATTCCTCTTCATGGATGAAATATTCAAGAAGCTGCAGTAGCCGGCCATGTGGACATTATTTTGCATGTAATAAAAACTTCAGCTCTGTATGATGCTTCTATTAATGAAGTACTGCTAGCTCTTGGTTGCGTCTTTAAACCTGTTACATAATAATTTTACAAATGTAGTTCTGTTGGCTGCAGATCCTCTGTAAGAAAATTGCCCATAAAAAAAGCTATTTGTCCTGATTTAAACAGGTATTAAAATTCAAGCCTTGATCCAAAACCTGCCTCCTGATCACCTGCATTTGGGTCCATTTCAGCCACTTTTGGCATGACAGAGATAAACAATGTCTGAGTTTTATTCATCCTTTCTTTCTCGGATTTCATGTTTTCCTGTTGCATAAAACATTCTCAATCAATCAATTCCTGAGATGTCTGGGCAGCAGACAGTTCAGTTCAGCACCCAGACTCTTCTACCATGAAGCTAAGCTGCTGAAATGAATGTACAGTAGTTAGTGGTTAAACAATAAAATATGCAAGACACCCCACCCCCACCCCAAAATAAAGGTGCATTCTGAATGTGAGCAATTGTTCTAAAACCTGTATAAACCTTTTGCATTGATGAGGACTTTTCAGCTGTATGAACTGTCGATGCCATGGGCACTAATGCACCCCCATACCATCAGAGAAGCAGACTTTTGAACTGTGTGCTGATAGGTTGGATGGATCATCTCCTCTTTAGAACAGAGGATGTGGCTTCCACTGTTCCCTAAAGAATGCCAAATTTCCATTTGTCTGATCACAGAACAGATTTCCCACGTGTCCTCCTCTCCACCCTAAACTCTGTTCTCCACCTCACTGAACCATCACCTCTGGAAGCCTCGACTGAGCTGTGCGACAACTTCCTACATTTCTTTGTGGAAAAAATTGCGACCACCAGGGCTCTCATTTCCCCTCCAACTCATGACCCATCCATCCCACCTCAATCTGTAGCTCCTTTTGACCATTTTGAACCCATCACTCTATCTTCTCTAGAGCAGGTCATGTGCAGCTTGAAACCTTCTGGTTACCCCTTTGATGTGGTCCCCCCTCGACTACGAAAGGAGGTTTTTCCCACTCTAGGTCCGTCCATTCTTGATATAGAAAACAGTAGTTTATCCACTGGCGTGGTGCCAAAAACCTTTAAACATGATGCTGTCCAGCCTCTCCTGAAAAAACTAAATCTTGACCCCTCACTCGTTTCCAACTTCTGACCTGTCTCCAAACTCCCATTTGTTTCAAAGGTACTGGAGAAAATAGTCAAGTCCCAGTTGAAGTGCTTCCTGGAGGATCACGCCATCTTAGAGCTTTTCCAATCTGGCTTTAAACCTCTCCACAGCACTGAAACTGCCCTGCTGAAGGTCTTTAACGACATCTTCAGATTCACAGATACCGGTGATTCTGTGCTGCTCGTCCTGTTGGACCTCACAGCCGCCTTTTACACCATTGACCATGAGATCCTCATTGCTAGGTTGGAGCAGTGGGTGGGCGTCACAGGATCAGCCCTTAATTAGTTCAGATCTTACCTCACTGACAGATCCTTTTGTGTCTCCATCAAGGATTTTAGTTCCGCAGAGGCAGAGCTTAAATGGGGGGTTCCGCAGGGGTCCATACTGGGTCCCCTCCTATTCTTTTTATACCTGCTGCCGCTTGGTGCTATTTTCCGGAAACACAACATGCCCTTCCACTTCTATGCCGATGATTGTCAAATTTACTTCCCCCTAAGACACAATGGCACATGCTCTATTCAACCGCTGCTCGACTGCCTGGCTGACATCAGGGACTGGATGGCTTTAAATTTCTTAAGTTTCAATGAAAAGAAGTCTGAAGTCATGTTGTTCCCTCCCAACGACACGATCACAAGCCACTGCATCGACCTTTCCGCTCTAACCCTGTCAGAAAAACAAAGAGTCACTAATCTGGGCGTGATAATGGACCCTTCCCTGAAACTTAACAATCATGTAAACATGATTGTTAAATCATGCTTCTTCCAACTGAGGCGGCTGTCTAAACTGAAGCCCATATTGTCCAAAAAGAACCTGGAGACAGTAATACATGCATTCATTACATCTAGGCTTGATTGCTGCAGTTCGCTCTTGTTTGGTATCAGTCAGACCTCCATTGTACGACTACAACTGGTCCAGAATGCAGCAGCCCGATTTTTAACCAGTGCAGGCAAAAGAGAGCACATTACACCAGTTTTGGCCTCACTGCACTGGTTACCGGTTCACTTTCGAATCCAGTTCAAAATACTCATGTATGTCTACAAATCACTGA